GGGGGGGGGGGGGGGTGTGGTTATTTATTTATTTTTAAGCCCATTTTTCTGGTTTGGGGGAAGAAGGGAAGATGATTCCATCATTTCAGATGTCTCTGACACGAGAGAGTGTCTCCAACTGGTCCTTATTCAGTTCTGAAGAAAATGTTTTATCCTGTCCAAAACAAAAAGAATGGGTGCTAGATGCCAAACTCAGAAAGTCTTCCCCAAACTCTTATCAAAACAAGCAGAGACCCCACCCATTCATTACATACATGGCTTAATGTAAACTGAATGTCTCAAACCAAGGGTACAGATACCCAAAGCTTTGCTCCACAGGACCATGATAGTCTGTAAGCAGGGGCAGGAGGCTGAGGAGCCTCCTCAGGGCTCACAAGCACACGTGCAACACCACAGGAACATCACTGCCTCAGCCTAAGTGTTACTTCTGTTACGGTCACTTGGAAGAAGAACTACGTATGTCCAAGGTGGACCTGGGCATGATCTGGATGCAACACAACTCCTTCCAACTGTCATCTGCTCCCATGCTATGTCTCCTGCACATCTGCAGTCCTGGTTCATGGAGGGTCTACGAAGACCTGAGCTCAGGCCTTATAGGGATGACCCCAAAGCATTTCCATGGTGCAGCAAAACCCCTGCAGTAGCAACACTGTACAGACACCCAAGCCAACTACAAAAAACCCTGAAATATTTGGATAGTCTTTTCCATTATAACCTGATACAGATTTAACAGCGTTTTGTTTTGGGTTTGGTGGTGGTTTTTCTTTTTCTTTTCTTTTCCTCTTTTCTTTTCTTTTCTTTTCTTTTCTTTTCTTTTCTCTTCTCTTCTTTTCTTTTCTTTTCTTTTCTTTTCTTTTCTTTTCTTTTCTTTTCTTTTCTTTTCTTTTCTTTTCTTTTCTTTTCTGCAGTCATGTTCTCACCCTTCCTGGGAAAATTTGTGGGCTACTTCCTACCTGAACATGACAGTCAGGGGTCATTTGCTGAATGGGGGAGCAGCATCAGTCAGCTTTCAAAACAACCCTTCCAGCACCACAAAAACCCCAAGTTGCCACATCACATCACATCACCCAGTAAGGTCAGAGTGAGTTTCAGTCACCATTTCCAGGCTTTCTCTGTTAGTTCTGTGAGAACAGCATTTGCACACTTATTCTAGCCCAGTCAGGCAAAGACGATTTGAAATTTGTCACCCAGTGAACAAAACCAACACTGGCTCAGCCACAAAAGGCAAAGGAAACAATCAGAACCGACCCAGGACACACGGAGGTCATGTTGTACATTCACACGTATGAAAACTGAATGCAAACCGCAGTGCCGTTGGGTGATGGGAGCGCTGAGCAGAAACCTGGGGCTGTCGCATGTAGTCTTGCCCCAGCTTGGATACAACTTTCACGTGATTCAGTGGTTTTGTAATTCTGTGTTTGCTCCCTGAAGGGCAAGGCAATCTTGAGCAGAGCCACTCTGAATTCTCTTCACAAGGTTTTAGTCTGCTCTTCACTCACGGCTCTGCTGCTAGGGAGTCAAGACCTTTGAAGATGATGCACTCCCAATGGACAGAATTGAGGGAGGTGCACCTCCAAGGAAGCATCTGCTAGCTGCAAAAAGCATGACAGCATTCTGGTTCTGTGTTCAAAAATCAGAAATTCTACGCCCTTTGAGGAAAGAGACTTCCACTGGCAAAACAAAACAGCCACCAGTCTGCTTCGGGCTCCCATAAGGAATGAGATCTCCCTAGGATAACGTTTTCTAAAGTATGAAACACATCTGTTCTCCTTAAATGAAGGCGCAAGAAAGCTGTACAGCATGGGTCTGTAATTTGAGAAGCGACACATAATAGTATTCATGTAAAAACAGGAAAAAGACCTTGAGAAACAACTTCTCTAGAAGTCACCAGACTTCTGTGGCTCATCACATTCTTGGCCTGTCCACTGAGCATGACAATGAGGGGCAGGAAACTGGGTCATGCAACAGCTTATACCAACCTAAAGGGTTGCTGAGCATCCAAGACATGGGAGGAGCCTGGGTCATCTGAAGGAACTTTCATCCTCAAAAGGGTTTGTCCAAAGCTGCGCATTTCATCAAGAAAATACATGTCCTGAGGAGCCACAGCAGCTTGTTATACCCTGTTTCAGGAAACTGCTGGAAGGGTGGGTGGAACAGATAGGAAACCAAGTAAAGAGACAGTTTTGCAGAACGCTGAGCCTCTGTGGTGGTACAACCTTCTTTTAGGCCACTCAGCGCTTGGTGCAATTTCCATCCCCCAACCCAGGCCACAACCCAAGGTGAGTTGGGAATGGTGGTGGATCACAGCATTAAGGCACCCTCTTAACGCACCTTGCACCCAGTACATCCATACCTAGATCACGGCCCAAAGGGGGTGACACCAGGACTTCAAGATCTGAAAAGTTCTGGGCCTGTGCAACTGGCTGGAAGTACCTGAGTATTTTGGCATCCAAGCTGGGCTGAAATGGAAAAGCACCTGATGAAAGTCAGTTATCTCAGACCCTATAAATAGCGACCCTAAGTGAGACCCTTTGAACTTTCCTGGATTGCACTGAGCTGTGACAAGCATCTCCCCTGAGGTGGGACACCTCTCAGGCACAGACTCCTCAAGGTTTGAAGATCATTTGCCCACAAAGCTGACAAAAGGGCAGGGTGAAGTCATACTTCTTGAGGCTCAATTACTGCCTGTTGAGGAATACCAAAGCATTGTGAGTATTTGCTCTAAACTCAAGGAGAGGAAAATTTTAACTGTAGATTCTTTCATCCACCTCTCTACCTGTGTGATTGAATATTTGCCTTCCCGAGTGTGGATGTCTACATATTTCACAGGATATCCAAGTATTTCTGTGCTCTGTGTGTATGCTTTGTGTTTATACATATATATATATAGATACACACACACTTTAATTTAGGGTACCTAAGGTAGTAAGTTAGTGTGAATCTTGTCACGCTTGAATCTGTA